GTGAAAGAACTTATTTTATTTTGTTGTGTTTTAAGTTCAAAAATAAAATAAGTGAATGAATGAATGAATGAATGAATGGTATAAGGAAAGGCTCACCATTTTCCCTGTCTCAGTTTCATAAGTCAAACAGATATAGGGAAGTTGATGTTTCCCCAGGCTTACTATTTGGTCACAAGTAGGAATCAAACTAGCTGACTCATCATTTCCAAGACAGAATTGATTATCATTCAAAAAACAAATAAACAAACAAACAAACAAACAAATCTCTCTTTTTAACTTCCTATGTTCTGTTGAGGACCCCACTATCCTTCTAGTTACCCAGCTTTGAAACTAAAGAGGTGTTCTCAACTCTTCCCATACTCTCCTTCTCTGTAACATATTTATTAATTTCATTTTAGTTTTCAACATTCACTTCCAGAATATTTTGAGTTCCTAATTTTCTTCCCATCTCTCCTCTCTCTCCACCCCAAGACTACATGCATTCTGAATACCCCTTCCTTTAATCTGCCCTCTCTTCTATCCCCCCCACACTTCTCTTATCCCCTTCCTCTTCTATTTTCTTCCAGGGCAGGATCGATTTCTATACCCCATTGCCTGTATATCTTATCTCCCAGTTACATGTGGAAACAATTTTTAACATTTTTTTTAAAACTTTGGGTGCCAAATTTCCTCTCTTCTTCCCTCTCCACCCATTCTCATTAAGAAGGCAAGCAAACTGATACAGGTTATACATGTGTAGTCATGCAAAACACTTCCATAGTAGTCATGTTGTGAAAAACTAAGTATATTTCCCTTCATCCTATCTCACTCCCCCCATTTATTCTATTCTCTCTTTTGACGCTGTCCCTCCTTAGAAGTGTTTGCTTCTGATTACTCCCTCCCCCAATCTGCCTTTCCCTCTATCATCAACCTGCTCTCTTATCCCCTTCCCCTGTATTTTCCTATAGGGTTAGACAGATTTCCACACCCAACTGAGTGTGTATGGTATTCCCTCCTTAAGCCAAATCTGATGACAATAACATTCACTCATTCCCTCTCACCTTCCCCCACTTCCCCTCCACTATGAAAGCTTTTTCTTGTCTGTTTTATGTGAGATAATTTACCCTTTTTCCTTCTCCCAGTATAATTCTTTCTCACCCCTTAATTTTATGTTTTAGATATCACCCCTTCAACTTCAACTCAACCTGTGTCTATCTATCTATCTATCTATCTATCTATGTATCTATGTATCTATCTATCTATCTATCTATCTATAGCTACATATACATATATTTTTTCCTCCAACTACCTTAATACTGAAAAAGGTCTTATGAGTTACAAATATCATCTTTCCATGTAGGAATGTAAACAGTTCAACTTCAATAAGTTCCTTATGATTTCTCTTTCCTGTTAATCTGTTCATGCTTCTCTTGAGTCTCGTATTTGAAAGTCAAATTTTCTATTCAGCTCTGGTCTTTTCATGAAAAGTGCTTGAAAGTTCTGTATTTCACTGAATGTCTATTTTTTCCCCTGAAGGATTATACTCAGTTTTGCTGCACAGGTTGTAATCCTATCTCCTTTGACTTCCAGAATATTGTATTTTTCCTCTAACATTATGCCATAGATCAGGTAGTCACTATGTGGACAAGACTCCCATGACTTTTTTTAAAGGTTAATATATGGATAAAGGATTAATGGTGACCTGAGATCTATTGCATAGAAAAATTACATATGTTATCTCTCCCATTTCTGTGTCATATGCAGACTGATGAATATGCCAAATGTGTCTTCAGTGAAGTTGATAAAAGTGGCAAACAAGACAGACATGACTAAGGACAACAATTCTGCAAAAACGCATAACCAGTGATTTCCAGTGGTGACTCAGGTAGGTAGTGATATGCAGTGCTAAAATGCTTGATCCGTGAGAGAATGCTTATCGACTGGGGAATGGCTACACAAGATGTGTTGTGATGGAATATTATTTTGCAGGAAAATTTCAGAAAAAGCCTGGAAAGACTTAAATTAACTGATGCAAAGTGAAGTGAGCAGAGCCAGGAGACTATAACAACAGTAACAACATGAGGAACCATGAATGACTTAGCTATTCTCAGCAACACCAAAATCCAAAGGACTCAAGAACTGATGCCATCTGAATACAGACTGAAGCATGCTATTTTTTTCTTCTCCTTTCTTTCTCCCTTTCTTTTTTTCTTTCTTATTCAAATCTTCTTGTACAAAAGGAAATGTTTTATGGAAATGACTGCACAACTGCACATCTCAGATTCTTACTGTCACAGAGCGAGGGAAGGGAAACAGGGAAGGACAGAATCTGGAACTCAGAACTTTAAAAAAACGGTTAAAGGTTCAAAAAAAAGTGACGTGACGTGAAACAGCGAAGCGTGCGTGACGTGCGTGGTGTGCATAGCGTGCATAGCGTGCGTGACGTACACAGCGCAGCGTGACGTGCATAGCGTAACGTGTGTGATGCGCGTGACGTGGCGTGGCGCGGCTAACGTGCGTAGCGGGACGTGACGTGCGTAACGTGCAAGACGTGCACGGCGTAGCGTGGCGTGCGTGGCGTGACGTGCTGATGTGCCGTGATGACGTATTAGCGTGGCGTGACGTGCTTGGCTATGGCGCCCGTTTTAAGAATTTTTTATAACCTGGCATCAGTCTTGATCATATTGTCTGGTCCACTGTTCTCGAAAAGGACCAAAATGACATCACTATGTTGGAGTCAAGTTATCAGTTAGGAATTCCCTGCTAGTCCATATGAACTTTTGGAGCGGAGCTATCTCTAAATTTGCACCTCTCGTGTTTCTTTTCAGCTATTGCAATTCTGCTTTGCACAGTACCGTCTTTGATGTCCTTTGCCAGAATCTCACATGTCACACAATCAATTCCAAAGTTCTTCAGAGAGACTTTGAGAGTGTCCTTGTAGCACTTCTGACCACCATGTGAGTGCCTTCCTTGTGTAAGTTCTCTGTAAAATAATCTTTTAGGAAAATATGCATTTGGTATTTAAATAATATGGTCAGCACATCGAGTTGTGCTCTCTTCAGTAGAGTTTGAATGATTAGTAGTTTTGCTTGAGAAAGGACATCAGTGTCTAGAATTTTCCTAAGAAAATTCACATGGAAATAATTCAGTTTATTGACATCGCTCTTGAAGTAAGCACAACAGCTCTTCAGTTTGGTAGGCAAGTCTAATCGTTCTTCTCTCCTACACTTTCCTTTGGAGCTTCCTAAACACTGAGTGAGCTCTGGCAATCGATGTCTCAACCTCGTACATCCTTGGAAAGTTCACTGCCAAAATAAGTGAACCACTGAAAAGCAGTGTTATCAACTTGGGCCCTCAAGAAAGTAGTAGTGTGTTCAAATCTGGCCTCAGATACTTACTAGCTACATGATCTCAGTTTCTCATCTGTAAAATTACTTATAGAAAGAAATGACAAAAGCACTTCAGTATTTTTGCCAAGAAAACAGACATGACTGAAACATCTCAACAACAGCAAAAATGTCACATAGATTCATGTCTTTCTTACATTCAGTTTTGATGTCACTTTAGAAATATGACTTCTTAATTGGAAACAGTTCATTAATTTATTCATTTATAACCCTTAAAGAAATAGTATTTTACAACTGAAAATGTTAGACATCATAGTAAAATTGAAAAAGAAAAACAGAAATTTTTTTTAAAAGTGATAACAATAACTAAATATCAAACTAATTAGATTTGACCCTACTGCTAAGAAAAGAGTTAATGTTTTGAAAAGGCATTAACTTTTTCAATATTTTAATTTACAATAAGACAGCACACATTTAGATGGGAAAACAGATCAAACAGAACAACTCTTAAGTTTACTAGATTATGAAGCCTTGGGGATTCCAATTTAATTAAAAAGAAATCACTTAAAGAAGCCTTCAGAAAATTGCATTAAATTTTGTCCTGGCGATTCCATGTTATGTTGTTATATTTCTCAATACAACATAGGCTTAGAGGTTGGGGATGATGTGACTGGGGATATGGGATTCAGTTCAGATTGTCTTAACTCTCCCAATAGTAACTTTAACATATTATACTTTCAGGGATTTTCCAGATTTCCCATGTTTAAAGGAAAGAGATAAGTCCTTTGGGGTAGTTTAGGGACTTTCTGCAACGAGTACTCAAGGTTAGTTATTGTATTATGATCTTAAAAGGATTATACACATTTCATTTCATAATATTTCCATCAGTGAGGGTAATGGATAGCTTTGAAGTACTGTTAAGATTCTAAAAATCTCAGAGATAACCAGAAATTTAGGTCCATTATTTATTTTTTAGTAGCGAAGAGTATCAAAGAAAAAAAATAAGAATCCTTACTAGAAATCAATAAAATAATTTCATCTGCATCTATAAGAAATGATCAATTTTTATATTCTCTCTAGAGATAGAAAGCTTACTCCTTGTTGAATTAAACAAAAAAAATATTGGAGGAGTGTTAGGAAGCAGGGGAATGTAGCTCTCTGATCATTCTTCACAGCACGTACAAACAAGCTTTCTTTGCCGGCAGTATGATCCGTCATCTTCCATCTCTCCATAACTAGTATAATTTGGATTTTAAATCTCATGAACATAGATGAACACTTTCATTTAGAGATGGATTAGCATCTGAGAGTTAAAAGATAAAGTTTACCTCTATATGTTTTCAGAATACCATTAGATTTCAACTCCTTGAAACAGGGACTGATTTGTACTTTTCCTAAGAACCACATAGATGTAGACTCCATAGAAGTCAATGAATATGCACTCTGGATTTGTAATTATGCCTTTTTACATGTAACAGCATTGAAGCATGGAGAGAATATCAAGATCTTGGTCCAATATGAGGATTTTTGACCTAGAGAATGCATTTATGATAATTCTATTTCTCCTGCACCATTATGTTATACAGAGAGAGGGCAGTCACTAGGTGGACCAGATTCCATGACTTTTTTTCAAGGTTTATATGCAGATGAGGGATTAAAGATGACTTGAGTAATATGGAGTATTCAATAGAAAAGCGAAATGATGTTACATGCAGCAACTGTCTGTCTCAAAGGTACTGTAGAAATAAAAACTTAAATTGTACACTGATTAATGAGACAAAGACTATTGGCCTCTGGTCTCAGAGGACTTCAGCAAGAGTAGAAATGCTGCCATCTCCCATTCTACTGAACTGTTTTGTTCTTAGGGGCCTCAAAAGAGGAGGAAAGAGAGACAACAAAAAAGACATTTATATTTGGCATGTAGGTAGGCATGATATTCATTTCTAAAAGCAAAACTCAAGGCTTAGGAGAGCTAGTGAAAAGGGGGGTTATTGGCAGCAAATGATGGTTCCTTTTTGTGTACAGTCACTTAATACCCCATGGTATCTTATCCTGATAAGTTGAAATGATCACCAATTACATTCTAATTTTCTAAATGTAATTTTTATTTTAACCATTTACATTACATTATGATGAAAGTATCAACAGACCATCCTGAAAACTGAGCCTTATTAGGTTGATTTGTGACATATCTTTTTACTCTTATTATGTGTTGTATTAGGTAATATTAATAAATACTTAGCATCAGAACTAGTTTTCATGTTTCCTACCCCAGTGCATAGCTCTAGGAAGCAGCTTTGTGTATATATTTGTGTGTGTTTGCACATGCATGTATGAATACATGTATCTACCTGTCAAATAATTCTCGGTTGTCTCTGTAGATGCCAAGCTCTGACCCAGTAATTAAGGAAAATCAGACCCTCTGCACCAAGTTCTCCTTTGTGGCTTTCTCCTCTCTAGGTGAGCTACATGTAGCCCATGCTCTTTGTGGTATTCTTAGCCATATACACATTCACTGTGTTAGGAAACCTGGTGATCATCTGCCTGATCTGTGTGAGCCCTACCCTCCACACTCCCATGTATTTCTTCCTGGTAAATCTATCCTTCCTGGAGATGTGCTATATCACCAGTGTGGTGCCTCAGATGCTGGTGCACCTGTTGGTGGAGCCCAAGACAATGAGTGTGACATGTTGTGCAGCTCAGATGTGTGTCTTCACCATCCTGGGGTTGACAGAGTGCTGCCTGCTGGCAGCCATGGCTTATGATCGCTTTGTTGCTATCTGCTACCCATTACACTACACATTATTGATGAGCCATTGGGTCTGCTTGCAATGGGCTGCAGCGTCCTGGACAACAGGAGTGGTTGTGGAGTCAGCACAGACCACCTGGATCTTCACTCTCCCCTTCTGTGGCACAGGACAAATCCAGCACTTTTTTTGTGACATCATGCCTGTGGTGCAGCTGGCCTGTGTGGATACCTCCCACAATGAGATTGTGTTGTTTTCTGTTTCCGTGCTCTTTATTATGAGCCCCTGTCTGCTCATTCTCTGCTCCTATGCCCGCATTCTCATGGCCATTCTGAGAATGCCCTCTGCTGCTGGCAGGCACAAAGCTTTCTCTACTTATTCCTCCCTCCTCCTGGTTGTCTCTCTCTTTTATGGCACAGCCCTCTTTACTTACCTTCAACTTAAGGCTGCCCATACTCCAGACACAGACAAAGCAACTGCCCTCAAGTACACAGTAGTCACCCCTGCACTCAATCCAGTCATTTATACTCTAAGAAACAAAGAAGTGAAAGGAGCCTTGTGGAGAATAGCTAGGAGGTACCCCCTTAGCCAAGCTGTCTAAAATTGGCCCAAAGATCATAATTAGTAAAAACAAAACAAAACAAAAACCTTAATCTTTCTGTGCTTGGCCCTGTGCTTTTTAGCCTTTTATAGTTTCCTTTGAGTAAGGGCTTGGATTGGCACAGTCTTCAGATATGCAGAAGACTCAAAGGTGGGAAGATAGCTTATGTACTGGATGATAGAATCATGGTCCAAACAGATTTTTTTTCCCAAACAGATCTTGATGGGTTGAATATTAAGATGAAAAGTTAAGATGAAATGCATTGGGCATTAAAAGAAAAAAAAAGTTATCCAATTTTGCTGAGCAAAGACAATTTTTTATGATTCAACCCTAGTGTCTTCTCTTCTACTACATGAGCTGTTGTATAGTTTGTATAGTTCTTTATTAAAAACTTTATTTTTTTATATTTATAACACTGTCCCCAAATTGTTAGTTGTTTCAGGTACTCTAGAAACCACTAAATTTACTGTAATACTTTAGTTATCTACCTTTGAAGGTTGTACTGTGTTTTCTACTTAATAAGATATTAAATTAGATAGGCATATTTATTGATTATTCATATCTAACTGCTAAATCAATCGGGAATTTTATTTATTTTAAGGTGAGGAGGAACTTATTTTCAGATTTTTTTTTCTTTAATTTTGTGTTTGCTGAAGAAGACTATGCTAACACTTACAAATACCTGCTACTGATTTCTAACATCTTAGTGCGCCAATAGAGGCTAGGGAGGAAGGAGAATGCAGCTAAATTGGATTAAAGACAGGAATCCAAGAAACTGGTGCATGACTAAAAGGTGTGGGAAACTGGCTCACTTTGGTACCCAGGAGGTATAGTCAAAGGAACAGTTTCTCCCCTGCAGAGTATTTGCTGTATTTATCTTCTTGCTATTGGCACTCATCACTTGTATGTGCTATAAATAGAGGCTGATCCTTCCACAAAGGAAGAAGATAGAGAGAGAGAGGGAGTACCTCTACCTACATTTTGGCTTATTAGAGAAGGCTTCATAGAAAGCCCAGAAGATAATCCAAAATGGAATACAACAAGAAAAAAAAACATCCTGAGGAGGCAGAGGAAAGTTGATAGTACAGTGGTAAAAAAGCCTGGCAGGGGCAGTTAGGTGGCGCAGTGGATAGAGCACCTGCCATGGAATCAGGAAGACCTGAGTTCAAATCCAGACCCAGAAACTTGATACTTACTAGCTGTGTGACCCCAGGCAAGTAACTTAACCCCATTGCCTAGCAAAAAGCAAAAACAAAACAACACAAAAGCCTGCCGGAAAGAGAGGAGGCAACTCTGATGTTAGAGCTATATAGCATGTATCCCATAAATGTAAATAAAATAGTAATATTCCAGTGGGAGGAGCATCCCACTGCCATAAAAGTGTTTCAAGTAGAGAAATTCTTTAAGATGAAGCCTCAGTTTGACATTACATATTCCTCCCTTGTTGGGTGTTTCACTTACCTACTTAGTCTATGTTTACCTCCACCTTTGGACCATTGTTCTAAAAGCATTTTTGAACATCCTCACACTAGAATTCGGTTATCTTCAGAACTCTGATTTGACCTGGACTACTGCTTGAAATGTCTTCTCTTTCATCCATGTGAAGGATTCTCCCTCAGAGCTTGTTAATTGTGCTTTTCACAAACCTTACAATCTTCATTTCCTTCCAAGGGCAAGGATGTGAAAACAATTGTAAACGTCAGTTTTTTCTATGTATTCACTTACTTGCTCCTCCCATTACTGGTATCAGTTCTGGAGGATTTGCTTTCTTTCAGTATGCTGTGGGAGAATAATAGGAAGACAAAAATGACTATGGTGGTGCTTTCGTCTTTCGCCTTTCCCCTCCAATTAAAAGTACAACAATAACAGCAACAACAAAAACAACCTAATTGATTGTTTAGAAGAAAGAGCCGAGTTCATGGTTTGTTTGTTTTTTTTCTCCCTGATCTGGAAATTAACCAAAAATGAATGAATTTTCTTTTATTCAGCTCAAAGTCATACTAGGACAGATTGTTTTGGTCAATATATAGCAGTTATGAAATCTTCCTCTGTAATTCTTTCTCTTCTCTTTCTCCCTCCTTTCCCCCACTTATAGCCCCAGATATTTTCCCCATTGTCTTTTCTCTGATGCAGTTGAGTAATGCAACACACAGAACAGCAGTGCAATGGTTAATCATATTTATCTTAGAAAATCAGCCCTATATTGGGGCAGCTAGGTGGTGCAGTGGCTAGAGCACCGGCTCTGGAGTCAGAACAACCTGAGTTCAAATCCAGACCCAGAAAGTTGATACTTACTAGCTGTGTGACTCTAGGCAAGTCACTTAACTCCAATTGCCTCACCAAAACAAACAAACAAACAAACAAAAAACAGCCTTATAAAGAAAAGGGAAACAGAAAGAAAATTCTTAAGAAACATGGAGAGAATAATTTTATTACCTTAAAAAGAGAGTAGAAATAAATATATCAACTCGGCATAACCGACTCCACTTTGATTCGACTTCATTTTGTGATAAAATTGTGTTAAGTTGTTTTCCTATCAATTTTCAATCACATAAACAATTTGTGGTATGTTCATCATGTGTGTGCCTGTAGGCAACTGATAAGTATCTTCTGATAGGACAGATTACCAATGGTAAAATATTATGAAGAAATTCATCAGTAGCTTATGTAATGAACTACCAATCAAATTTGGTGGTAAATTAGGACCATCCCTAGCTAGAACTTTAAGAAAGCACGGGAAAACTTGCTCCTTGGCTGTGACCAAAATAGACTCCCAGGTTCTCTGCTGGTTAATGAACAGCTCATGTTTGCTTGAGGGCAGGCCTAACTGACAAACTTGCCAGACCATCACCTTGGAGGGAGAGGTAACCTTGTCGTCACCATCTTTATGAAAAACACTTACTGGAACCTCTAAGATGAAGGTTAGTGGTCTACTCTTAAAGGGGGGATTATGAATTTGTGCGATATTATCATCATAGGATCATCAATTTAGAGTTGGGTGACACCTTAGAGGTTATCAAGTCCAAGCTCATCATTTCATAGATGAGGAAACTGAGTATTAGAGGGGTAAAGGCCATGAGTCTAGTATGTATCAGGGGTGAGATTCCAGCACAATATCCACTAGAATATTCTGCCTCTCATTAGCCATAGCAACCCAGAGACCAGTTACTCAGTCATACAAGGTCATCATAACTGTTCGTGAAAATATCTCAGTTTACTGAAGCACTGACCTACACTTAGGTTTATATACCCATAACGATTTACAAAATGCTATCTTCCAACCTAGACTCAAAGAAAGTAGTTCAGCCAGAGCTTTACAGCTCATTATGCCCACTGCACTTTCTGTAACACAAGATGTGGAGTTGATGGGTTATTCCCTTGTAGGACTTCTGCTTTACAAGCCAAACAGAATTCCATCATCCAGAGCTGCAATAGTAACTGTACTCGTATTCAGACAATCTTGTCTCTAGAGATTTCATAGGAAGATATTTGTCATTACTATTGTGGTTTAGTGACAGTCACCGTCTCCACGTAGCCATGCACAGAGAATAAAAACATGCTCTCTGATAGTCAGTTCCCTAGTGGCAACCTGATTCCCTTTTTATGCTTGGAGAGTGGCTCCATTCAAAATGGCTTAACTTTTAAACTGACAGTTAAGACTTCTATTGCTATTAGAATCATTAAGATACGTGGACTCAAATGTATTGTTTGCATTTTCATTACTTATCTCTAGGCACTCGGGGTAGACATTTCCAGATAAATTGTTCCAGGCATGGTAGTATATTAGTATACAACATCTGAAAGTGTTGACATAGCCATCATCCCCAAACACAACCATCCTGGATTGTAGAGCATTTCTGTCTGGTACAACCAAGCAAACCACATGCACTGACAATAATAGGGGCTGATGGCCCTTGCTGTACTGTCCTCAGAAAGTAAGAAATACCATCAAGGCTTGGTTCATTCGGTCTTCCAATCCCATACTATATCCTTGATAATGACACCCATCAAATCAGAAAGCTGGGAAATAATTTTTTATAGCCAATGTTTCTAATAAAGGCCTCATTTCTAAAAATGTGTAGAGAACTGAATCAAAGTTATAAGGATACAAGTCATTCACCAACTGAGAAATGGTCAAAGGATATGAACAAGCACTTTTCAGATGAAGTAATTAAAGCTATCTATAGTCATAAAAAACAAATGCTCTAAATCACTATTGGTCAGAGAAATGCACATTAAAACAACTCTGCAGTACCACCTCACACTACCAGACTGGCTAACATGACAAAACAGGAAAATAATAAATGTTGAAGAAGATGTGAGAAAATTGGAACACTAATGGATCGTTAGTGGAGGTGTGAAACGAGACAACCATTCTGGAGAGCAATTTGGAATTATGCCCAAACTGCTGTAAAACTGTGCATACCCTTTCATCCAGCAATATCATTCTAGGCCTGTATTCTAAATAAATCATAAAATAGGAAAAAGGACTTATAGGTACAAAAAATATTTATGGCAGCACCTTTTGTGGTGGCAAAGAATTATCAATTGTGGGCCTGCCCATCAACTGGGGAATGGCAGAACAAATTGTGATATACGAATGTAATGGAACACCATTGTGCTATAAGGAATGATGGACAGAGGGATTTCAGAAAAACCTGGAACTACTTCCATGGACTGAAGCTAAGTGAAGTGAGCAGAACCAGGAGAACATTAGCAACTGCACCATGTACAGTGATTAAGTATGATGGACTTAGCTCTTCTCAACAATGCAATGATCCAAGACAGTTCCAAAGAGTCATGATGGAAAATGCTAACCACATCCAGGGAAAGAACTTTGAAATCAGATCAAAGATCGAAGCACACTATTTTTCCTTTTTGTTTTTATTCTTTTTCTTTTTTTTATGGTTTTTGCCTTCTGTTCTGATTCTTATTTCACAACATGACTAATGCGGAAATAAATTTAACATGACTGTACGTGGATAAACTATATCAGATTG